AAAACACGTGAAGGCAAAACATATGAAAGTGAGTCATATTTAAATATCATATGTTCAAAGATTGACAGACAGTAAAGCAAATTCTCCTAATATTCCACAAAAAAAAGTCAGCAGTTAAAAACTTTAATATGAACTAAGCTTCAAAAACACAAAAATTCTAGTACACTATTGTTATTATCAGAGTTCAGTTGGATATATTTTTTAAAAATGGTTTATGATTTTGTGTTGTTCTCCTGCATGAACCATCATGTACGACTCCTGTACGCTCTACTCTTTGTTGGTTTCCAGTTTAATTTTAAGGATGTAATCGTCTCTTATGAGGCTCAGAGTTCCCGAAGTGGATTATTTTCATACATCAGCATGGTTCATCATGTGTTATTCTTTACATAATGTATAAATATGGTATAATTATTGCATGTCACAGTGCACCATCATGCCAGTCAATGGTAACAGAGTTTTTATTTAAATGTATCTTTCCATATTTAGAAGTTGTCTCTACCTGATAAACCAGCAGCAGCTGGAGCTGAATTTTCTGGACTCATAAATGTGAGAGGTGCGTGTTATTTTTGCTCTTCTCACTGTTCTAAATTTAAATGAAATAAATTTAATTTAGAGTTAAATCATAGCAAGGAAAATTTTAGTTTTTTCTTTTCTCCACAGAGGTCAGAAAGGAAATGATTATTGAATGTGTGGCCAAAGGTTCCAAAAAGGGAACAAAAACTCCAACTCCAGCTCAGCAGAAAGAGAGACAGAAAAGAGTGGAGGCTATTCAGAAAGACATGTTAGAAAAGATCCATATCATCAATCCAAACTTCAAACACGAGCTGAAGGAAGAACTGGGAAGGTCAAAAAGAGGCGAACATGTCTTCAACAATGGCATTCTTAAATTTCATTCCAAAGTGCTGACTGATTTTATACAAAGCCATCATATTTATAATCGAAGAGGATATAATCAGTAGGCAATGGATACATTAGGCAGACACACACTTCCCCGAAACACAGCAGAAGATATTCAGACAAACATGGTGGTTCACTTTGGTGAGGATGAATTCTACGTGAATGCGAATGGAGTGATGTATGGTGAATATTGCAGAGCACTGCGTGGTGCTTTGATAGATGTGCTGCGCCGCATAAACCCAGGTGATGTGACAGAAGAGGAGAGACAAAGGGTGAATTTTGTCATAGATAATATGAATAACCTTGAAATCTATGTGGACCAACTGGCAAAGGTCAGGTGGATTGCCAATATAGAGATTAGACAGGGCCGGTTTGAACAGGTAAGACAGGAAGTTGCGACCATGTACAACACAGCTCGTGGGTTTGACTGGTGCATTCGTATTCTGCATGAAGTTGCACCTTTGTTTGAACATAGACAGTGAGTTTATTTCTCCTGTTCAGGGTTGCCAGGTTTCCTTTAAAAAAAACTACATCCTAAATCCCATAGACCTGAAACTAGCTCAAAAAGTTTGGACACCTGAAGAAACCATAGACTGTAAAAAAAGATCTTGCGCGTCTCCTATTCCTTCCACTGTAGAAAAGTGAAGCCATACCTAGTCCAAATACCCACACTTGCGGTCTTAGCCACTTGAGAGCGCGTGCGCACAACAGGAAGCAAGTGTGCAAGTCTGTCCCATGTCTTCAAAATGCCAGAGTGCAGTGCCCTTAATGGATACTAAACCCACACTATCTCGAATACTGCTCCAGAGCGCTATTCAAGGCTAAGTGTATCCCATCATGCATTATGTTCTGGAAATAAATCGTCAGACTTTTTGCCGAGATCTCGCGAGAGGTCACGAAACCTTTCCAATGTAAGTTATATATTAATATAATAATTAGATATTACAAATAATTTGGTAGAAAAACTGTGTTTTTACTTTTATTGGTGCAAAGATGAGTTGTGGTGATATTTATTTTGTTATATGCCTGCTTACAGAGAGAGAATAGGCTTTAGTGTTGTTCCTTTAGCTTGAGACCAAGTTGTCATACAGTATGTTAAGTGAGGAATAATCATTGAATTTAATATCTAATTTTGCTGCTGTAGTTGTTAGACAGCTTCTAGATTATATTTAGTTATTTGCAATACTTTCTTCACTTGTTTTTTGAAGGATAAAGTGGAATCAAGGATAATACCAAGATATTTAGCATAAGAGACTACCTGAAGGATCTCTCCAGACACATACATTTTGGGATCACAGTCAGTTACAGAGTGCATCTTTGTGAAAAACATACTAGGCAATGGATACATTAGGCAGACACACACTTCCCCGAAACACAGCAGAAGATATTCAGACAAACATGGTGGTTCACTTTGGTGAGGATGAATTCTACGTGAATGCGAATGGAGTGATGTATGGTGAATATTGCAGAGCACTGCGTGGTGCTTTGATAGATGTGCTGCGCCGCATAAACCCAGGTGATGTGACAGAAGAGGAGAGACAATGGTTGAATTTTGTCATAGATAATATGAATAATCTTGAAATCTATGTGGACCAACTGGCAAAGGTCAGGTGGATTGCCAATATAGAGATTAGACAGGACCGGTTTGAACAGGTAAGACAGGAAGTTGCGACCATGTACAACACAGCTCGTGGGTTTGACTGGTGCATTCGTATTCTGCATGAAGTTGCACCTTTGTTTGAACATAGACAGTGAGTTTATTTCTCCTGTTCAGGGTTGCCAGGTTTCCTTTAAAAAAAACTACATCCTAAATCCCATAGACCTGAAACTAGCTCAAAAAGTTTGGACACCTGAAGAAACCATAGACTGTAAAAAAAGATCTTGCGCGTCTCCTATTCCTTCCACTGTAGAAAAGTGAAGCCATACCTAGTCCAAATACCCACACTTGCGGTCTTAGCCACTTGAGAGCGCGTGCGCACAACAGGAAGCAAGTGTGCAAGTCTGTCCCATGTCTTCAAAATGCCAGAGTGCAGTGCCCTTAATGGATACTAAACCCACACTATCTCGAATACTGCTCCAGAGCGCTATTCAAGGCTAAGTGTATCCCATCATGCATTATGTTCTGGAAATAAATCGTCAGACTTTTTGCCGAGATCTCGCGAGAGGTCACGAAACCTTTCCAATGTAAGTTATATATTAATATAATAATTAGATATTACAAATAATTTGGTAGAAAAACTGTGTTTTTACTTTTATTGGTGCAAAGATGAGTTGTGGTGATATTTATTTTGTGCAACATTTGCAACTGCTTTTTATCATTTAATTAGAAGCACCACAAATTAAAATCTAGAGAGTCTGCGCAGTAGAGATTAGTTTGGAGCCAGAGTCTGCCGCGGTAGAGATTAGTTTGGGGCCAGAGTCTGCCGCGGTAGAGATTCGTTTGGAGCCAGAGTCTGCGCGGTAGAGATTCGTTTGGACTCTATATCTCTTATGACTCAAATATGAAATAAAATACTTTTAAAAGAACAATTTTGACCTTAAAGAGAAATAAAATCATCTCTGACAACATTTTATTTCTGTTCGACCGGAGAGATTTTACACCTACCATTCTCTGCGACCGACTCCACTGATCGTTTACCTTCGTCGCCTGTATGTGTCCCATTATCCCTTTCTTTTAGATGCACTTAATATATTCTATTCAATGAATATCTTAGAATTATTTTGCAAGATGAACAAACATTTTGGCACAATTCATTACAAATTAGTTTTCCCTGTTACATCAGCACCCACTTTCTTCCGGATTATTGGTTGCCAGATGCTGGTCTGGTTGAGGTGGTCTCCTCATGTATTTGCAGGGCGTTGTGGCTTAGCTGTTCAGTGTGCTGGCTTACTTGGGTTTAAATCCGGCCGAGTATGTGCGACTCAAGGATGATCCTCCTCTTTATACTGCCCGTAACTTTTTAAAAATCTGTTTTATCTATTTTTGCGCGCTGTCTCAAGGAACTTTGCTGCCTACTGGCTCGTGGGGGTTTTATGATATTACTTTTTATTCGTTGTTAGATCTGCATCACCTAAACCCTAAAGTTAGAATTTTGAAAGATTGTCTAACCACCTATCAAAAGTCTGTCAGCGATGCGAAATCTCAATACTTTTCAAATTTGATTGCCATGAATGCAAACAGGCCAAAAGTTCTTTTTTAAAACTATAAACTCAGTTCTTAATCCAGCCGCTTGCTCAGCCCCTTTTGGCGATCTCGAGACCTGCACAGAATTCTTAGGTTTATTTGTGCAGAAAGTACAAGATATCAGATCTCACCTCTCTCCTCCTGACACGGTTCATTCTCACCTGATCTCTCCTTCTAGCAGTTTCACTAGTTTTAAACCAGTGTGCAATTTATTGCATACATTTCTAAGATGAAATTTACATATTGTCAATCCGATGTACTGCCTGGCCGTTTGCTTATATATAAACTTGTAAACGGTCACTGGGTTCGTCAGACTGGAAAATTTGTTTGCAGTAATGGGACCGAAAAAATTTAAAACCTATCGAATCTGAATTTAAGACATTTTAAGACTTCTTAAGGACCCGCGGCCACCCTGTGCTAAGGGTACAGGACGACTTCACCGCATTGAGGGGCAAATGGACGGGGCATGTACTGTAAAATCTTGGACGAGAACCTCCTTTCCTCAGCCAGAACACTGAAGATGGCTCATGGCATGAGATCCAAAATCAGCAGATATCAGAAACAATATTCAAATCAGTTCTTAACTCACTGAGCTCAGTCTGTTTGTAAGATACTGAGGAAATCTCTCCGAGCCGCTAGTTCACAGCAAACGCTTGAAAACGATGCTTCATGAATTGATTTAGAAAAGCAAACATGTTAACGATGAGTCACTTAATTCATTAAGACCAATTCGCACTGCCTGTTTTAAGAATATATGTATAATTGTGTTTAATAATAATGTATTTATTTTATTCATATTGATCAAGTTAAGATGACTCAATTACAAATGATCAAAAAAATCACATAGTATTTACATAAATTACAAATTATTTTTTTATCACAACTGGTTTAAGTAATATGAGCTGGTGATATTTAGTAGAAGTGAGAACAGACGAGCTATGTGGCGTCAGCAGTGTTTGTGTAGCGGAGGTAGTGTGAGAGCCAGCGCAGAGCCTCACCGTATCCCCGTCTCTCCGTCACGCTGCACATAAACAGCTCCAGCGCTCTCGTCTTCAGCTCGCCGACGGGAACACAGCCCTGAACACAGCACAGCACTCAAAACACTCAGCGTCTGTGGCCTTAGTCACGGATAAACCACCAGAAAGGAGGAGCTTCACTTACAACAACATTTTCTTCCAACTCAGTAGGTCAAACTATATATACAGTATATACGTTTATTGTACTTTCAGCTGTTCTGTGTCATTTCTGCAGTATTTCTTCAGATTGACCTGACGAACTTAAAACACTCTTTATTTCAGTTGTATCTTTGTTCTGTTGTATTTTTTGGCCCATTGCTTGTTTCTTTGTTATTACTTTTGCTTTAATTACTCTGCTTTTCACTTGCATGAGTTGAGAAGAGCGTATACTTGGACTGAACCGCTGCTACCGTTAACTGATCTCTAGTTATTTCAGAAAGACTTAACTATACTCTTGTAGATGTGCCCAAAGATGAACACATTATTCAGATAATGGCTTATGAAGATAAAGTAACAAATTCTATCGGATAATAGGAACAAATATTCCTCATGTTTGCTGGATAATGTGAGCCAGAGGATCGTTACACAATAATGAGTGTGAGAAGTGAAGGAGCGTAAACGCTATGAATGAAACGCTGCGCTGAAATCAGACATTTCTGGATTTTTTGGTTGGTATTCTGTCTCTATCCGTTAAAATACACCTACCATAAAAATTACCGACCCTTCATTTTTGTGTAAGTGGGCAAACTTACAAAATCAGCAGGGGATCAAATAAATATTTTCCACACTGTACAGTTGTACATGTTATATAGATACAGTTTTGCATGTTCGTAACACATCCGCTTAATAGTGTGAAGTGATTTCGTTGTGCTTGTTTGTGTGTGAGATTGATTATACAGCACTTGGTAGTTAGGTGCGTGCGAAATGACAATTTTTGACAAATATGACTGCTTTTGAATAAATATGGTAGTATCGTTCTACAGCGCACATTCTATCAGCTGCAGTTCTGGCCCCTCTGTATCAATATACTGTACAATATTCACATCAAATGTTAACTCTGTCTGCAGTGGAGTTACACTCACGGGACACTGCGCAATCACAAAAGTACATTATCTGCTTTAAAGTCTTAGCAGTTAAACATTTAATTCACGTGCTGTTCTGATGTGCGCCTTTTCTGAGTGCATTAAGCAGGCGCACTCTAAGAGCCAGTCAAACAGCGCCTGGTTACTAGACTGAGTTGTCTTGCGCATCTAAAGGCCCGTACACACCAAGGACGATAACTATAAAGATAAAGATATAGTTCTAAAAATCGTTCTCAATATTAAAGAATAGCAGAGTTCACACCACAGCTATAACGATAAAGGCACAGAGAAATCATATCTTTGGAATCACTTCCAGAACTATTTTGTTCGAGCTGATGAACGATAAAATCATTGACAGCCAATCAGAATGAATCCTGCCATCACGAGCTGGAGAATTTAAAGCAGCAGACGCGTGTACGCTTAGAATGTCCACTGGTGTGGACGCTAATATCGTTATCTTTATAGTTATTGTTCTTGGTGTGAACGGGGCTTAATACTGTCAAAAACACACACGGTTGTCTGAGGTGTTGAAAGTTAGAATTGAAGTTTGCCCCGCTACAGCAGTCTTTGGGGTCAGTTTAATTCTAAACAGTTGGATATTTGATCTTTTTCCTCATTAGCAAAGTGCCGTATTTTGCTCCACTGGAAATCTAACAAGCCTCTAACTATTTCTCAGTGGTTAGTAGACACCATGTTTGTTCTGAAATTGGAAAAAATTAGATGTTCAGGGAAAAGTAATTATTTTAGTAAATGTAATTGTTTTACAGATTACTTCAAGTCTCTTACGGTCTTACCTCCTGTTTAATAAGATTACGTTTATATAATAACATTTTATTATTAATTTATATTTATTTAGTTTGTTCTTTCCATTTTTTTTCTTTTTCTTCTTTTCATTAGTGTAAAATTGTTTTGGGTTTTGGGATGTAAAAAAAAAAAGTGGTAATATTGTGTAATAACTTTTTTTGTAATGTTTGTTCTAATAAAGTTTCAACATAAAAGCACACAAGCCTTACATATAAACACAGTTGGCTGGTTACGTCTAAAATGAAAGTAAACAGATGTGTGCAGCTCTTAAAGGCACAGGAGACTAAACATGCTGCCGCTTGTCATTAAAGGAACAGTTCACCCAAAAACTAAATTAATGTTGTTATTTACTGACTCACATGTTGTCCCAAACCTGTATTAATTTCTTTCTTGTGCTGAACACAAAAGAAGGTATTTTGAAGAATGTGGGTCACCAAACACAGCAGGAGGAAAACATACTCTGGAAGCCACCGGGGACCAACAACTGTTTCTTTACCCACGTTCTTCAAAATAACTTTTATGTTCAACAGAAAGAAAGAAACTAATTCAGGTTTAAAACAACTTGAGAGTGAGTAAATGATGGTATAAAAATAAAACACTATGACAGAATTGACAGACAGATGACAGAATTTTCATTTTTGGGTGAACTATACTTTTAATGTTAATAAACAAACAGAAAAATGTCTCACTGCTCTTGATTGATGAACGATCTTGATTATTTTAATATTTGTTCAATTTCCTGAATGTTACTGCTAAATACTCTGAAATACCTGAAAAATATATATATTTTTTTATCTTCGCCCACTTTGGCCTAAATCTCTGCCATTCTTTTTTATTTTACATTTTGTTGAGGTGTAAGATGTGTTATGTTTTTGCACTCTTCTACTTTTTGTGATGGTTTGTATTTTTTGTGCTGAACATCAGTGGAAGCCACCGGGGACCAACAACTGTTTCTTTACCCACGTTCTTCAAAATAACTTTTATGTTCAACAGAAGAAAGAAACTAATTCAGGTTTAAAACAACTTGACAGTGAGTAAATGATGGTATAAAAATAAAACACTATGACAGAATTGACAGACAGATGACAGAATTTTCATTTTTGGGTGAACTATACTTTTAATGTTAATAAACAAACAGAAAAATGTCTCACTGCTCTTGATTGATGAACGATCTTGATTATTTTAATATTTGTTCAATTTCCTGAATGTTACTGCTAAATACTCTGAAATACCTGAAAAATATATTTTTTTTTTTTATCTTCGCCCACTTTGGCCTAAATCTCTGCCATTCTTTTTTATTTTACATTTTGTTGAGGTGTAAGATGTGTTATGTTTTTGCACTCTTCTACTTTTTGTGATGGTTTGTATTTTTTGTGCTGAACATCAGTGCCTGTTTAATGATGAACTCCATGACTTGTGTTTGTTTTCAGACATGATAATAGACGTTGTATACTTGTGCTACAACTGTTTGACCTGTGCTGCAAAAAAAGTTAACGTACAGCCCTATTTATATATATATACAGTATATATATATAAATATATATATATAACAAAATATTGCAAATTACGCCTGATATAAAAGCCTCAGCTTTCAAACTGTTCATTTTATGATGAAGTTCAAACGATAAGTACTCTTTTGGAGCTCTAATGTGACGTGACAGACCATAGCACCTCAGTTCTTCCTCATTGGAGCTTTCGCTTTTAAAATCACGACCTGCTGCACGATACTATCCTACCGCAGAGCTGATGAATGCAAAAGAAGGCAGCATCTCGAGACATGGGGCAACAGTCAGTTGCAGTCTATCTAGAGGATGTTTACATAGAAAAACAATCCAGAGCAGTGCAGTGAAGCACAAGAGCGTCCCTGAGAGTGCTGTCTTACCTTTCCCGTCGTCTGACCGTACAGGCCAAAGATCTCGTGCAGTTTCTCCTCACTGATGGCTTCAGGTTTGTCGATCTTGTTGCCGAGGATCAATATGGGTACATTTCCAATGGTTTCATCTGTCATTAGTGCCTGTTATTCACAGCCAACACACACACACACAACACACACACACACACAGGTACAGTATGGCATGAGACAAGAGATGCTTCATGAATTCCAGCGCCCTCTGACCGTCTCTGATTGGCCCTTACACTCGTAAGCTCAACAGAAACCTGCGTGATTGGTTATAAACTCACCTAAAAACTGATGGCACACCAACAGAACTAAATGTAATGCCGCAGTTGGACGGATTCGGCACAAACATTATGTATTATTTGTTGTTTGTAAAGACTCACAAGCTGCAGTAGGACCGCACTTACCCTCAGCAAGAGCGTCCTCGTTCAGCTTGTCCTCGAGCTCCTCCTTCAGTACAGCCATCTTCTCATTTATCAGCCGCCACCACCTGCGTACAGAGTTATGACAAAAGACGAAGTTAAATTTAAAAAATGAGTATCCAGTCCAAAAACAGAATATGAAATCACACACAGTCTCTGACCGTCTCTGATTGGCCCTTACACTCGTAAGCTCAACAGAAACCTGCGTGATTGGTTATAAACTCACCTAAAAACTGATGGCACACCAACAGAAATAAATGTAATGCCGCAGTTGGACGGATTCGGCACAAACATTATGCATTATTTGTTGTTTGTAAAACTCACAAGCTGCAGTAGGACCGCACTTACCCTCAGCAAGAGCGTCCTCGTTCAGCTTGTCCTCGAGCTCCTCCTTCAGTACAGCCATCTTCTCATTTATCAGCCGCCACCACCTGCGTACAGAGTTATGACAAAAGACGAAGTTAAATTTAAAAAATGAGTATCCAGTCCAAAAACAGAATATGAAATCACACACAGTCACTCACTCTAACATGGTTTGTTCTCGTTTATTCAGCTGCTGCATAAATGTCCCTATGAAAGAAGAACTAGTGATCTTGTCCTGCGCATAAATAAATCGATCATGACATAAGGACCTTTTGAGTTCCCTCACACTCCGGAGTTTTGGGGCATGGTGCTACCGTAAAAAAAAGAAAAGAAAAGAAAATGGTTATTGAAAAATATTGTACATATACATGACACATTGGGTAATATTTTATCAAAATATCAGAAGCCTATAAGATGAAGTATATGGAATATAACAATGATAACCTACTATATTTCACAGATAAGTGAGTAAATTGACATAATGTCTCATTAAATGCACATTAGAGAGTAAAGCGGTGATGCAGAATTTACTGATATTACCTAACATACCATCTGTAAACATTACAACCTCACAATTATTACAGGAGAAATATTCTGACAGCGCGTAGTGTTGCCATGATGCCAAAATTATGACTTTGATATTATATTTTAAATAAAATAAGCAAGTAAACTTAGTAATAAAATGAAAACAAAAAATGATAAAGAATAGCACAAGTAAATACAATAGAATAAAGATACAAATGAAATAAACAGTGCTTTAAGTTTTTTAGGAAGGTCTAACAATAGTACTCAGGTACAGACACTGAATTAACTAATGAAATGTAAAATAACACTGGATAGTCTTCACTGTAGAAATAAGTACAGATGAATCTGTCTTTAGTGAAGTTCACCATATTTATCCAGAAATGAAAATGAATGTGTCGAACAGTTTCTTGTATGATATGAAACCCAGGCATCTCTGTTCAGTGTTTCATGCTCCTTTAAGCAGTTCAGTGACACTGAGTCCGTGATTAATGTCTCAAACTAACCTGTTTAGCCCTTTCCAGCACCTCCTCCACCTTCTTCTTTACCTCCTCTTCACGCGCACGTTTCTTCCTTTCCGCTGCCTTCCCAAATGCACTCTGCAGAACATCAGTAAAGATAAAAGAGAACTGATATTGAACTGTAATTGAAACAAAATAATGGTTGAAATCATTTGGTAGAGCAGCGCCCATCATACATTAAACATACAGGAGATTTGATTAAACAGTTAAACAGTAAGCCTGGGATGCGAAGGTTTTTCTCACTACACTGATTGTCCTCTCTTTATACTATAATAAATGTCGTCTCCATATCATATCATATTCTAATATCTGGATTGTTTCTTGAACAAAGAACTAAAATCATACCATCCTCTAAATTTGTCTTTGAAATCACTTCATTTTTTATGTTATATTTAACTATTTCCTATTCGTTTTTTTATCCAGAAACAGGGAGCGGCTTTAGGGTCCCAATTTTCTTTATATCTTGGTATAAAGTATTGTACGATTAATATTGTTGTGTATCCTCTTATATAGCATAAAATAATATATTAAAGATCCATGACAATTTCTGGTCATTTTGGGCCCTATTTTAACGATCTAAGCGCACGGCGCAGGTGCACTCAGGGCGTGTCCGAATCCACTTTTAAAAACGGGCAGCGTGCCCGGCGCATGGTTTAACAGGATTGTGCCTATTCTCTTAATGAGTAATGGGTGTGTTTTGGGCATAATGTGCAAAAAACCAATCAGAGTCTCTTCTCCCATTCCCTTTAAGAGCCAGTTGCACTCGTGCCATGGCGGATTCGCTATTTACACGACGGAATTTGCGAGCGCAAAGACTGAACGTGTCTCCAGAGATGAAATGGAGCTGCTCGTGCACGAGCAAATAGGTAGTCTTATGATACATGCAATGACTATCCATTATGACATGTAGGCATTTTTATATTTATGTAGCCTACATAATAATAATCTTTTACATTGTAATCCTTTAAAGAGGTCATATGATGGGATTTAAATTTTTCCTTTCTCTTTGGAGTGTTACAAGCTCTTGGTGCATAAAGAAGTCATGGTTAAGTTGTATTTACAACACTGTTCCAGAACGGTTCAGCCCAAATATTCAGATGTGTGCAGCACATTTTATGGAGGACTGTTACCTGATCCTGGGAGAGTAGACTACAATGCCGGATGTTCTGACTCACAGACTGTAAGTACGTTAAAAAAATAAGTAGTAAGTAAGTACTGTAAAAAAAATACTGCGCCATTGACTTTAGACCAGGTTTTAGTTGGTCTATTTCAGTTGCCTCAAAATAGCAACGCGCCAACAATGCGCCTGAACACACCTCGTTTTCAGACCAGCACGCTCATGAGCGCACAAATGGGCGCATTGCGCCGGGTTTATGATAGGGCCCGTTGTGTGCAAATCTTCCAAACCCTCTGATAATGGTGTGGAAGTGAATATTGCCAACCGTATCGGTCAGTTCACTTTCATGTGCAGATCGTGACCTTTCTAATTTGCAAAGCCCTAATTGCACCGTTTCTACTAAATTCACCTAAATAAATTCAGGTTTCATTGCAAAACAGAATAACAAGCAAGCACATTTTCACATTTTCAAAGTCAACTTTAGTCGTGTAAAACAGGTTATTACCCGGCATTCAGTGATGAAAACAGCCCTGGCTATAACGAGGAGTATGAAGTAGCATGTAATAATAAAGCCGATGACGAAGACGCTGCTGTAGCTCACACCCGCTTTGTCGAGGTCCTGATGCACCTTCGTCCAATCATACAGCTATTGACACACAGAGTTCGAGGTCAAGCATTTGATTCCTGTCAAGCATCTATTTTACAAGCCTGTCCAAATGCTTGGCAATCGTTTCGCTAATCAAAAGATCTATTGCTAAAGCTCAAAGATATCTGCAGAACATCTGTTGAGTCCTACTAATGACAGGATGGCCTGATGTTTAAGATGTTTACATGTACCTGACAAATGTCAGAAAACGTAAGAATAATTCCTCATCTTACTACGAGCAGTCTGAAGAGCGTGACCAGGGCTGTGCCGAGGTCTCCCCAGTGTTTTGGATCTCCTCTGTTTGGGTCTCCAAAAAACGAGTGACCAGCCATAGCGAAAACCAGTACGATCACAAAGATCAAGAAATAGATCAAGCTGGCTTTCTTCAGTCCCCTCCAGATGCCTGCAGTGTACTCCTGAAAGACACCAACAACGCAAACACTGATTGCAAAAATAAAAAAATAAAAAATCAGATGGAAAACTCCTGTACGCTTGTCATATGACGACCTGCTCGACATCCGTGTAATTCCTGAGCCTGAAGACTAGCAGGACGCAAATGCAGACCAGGTGCTTCAGAGGCATGCTCAGACTCATGCAGACGGAGGAGAGCAGGAGCACAAACGCAGACAGCACATTGAGGGGACTCCTCCAGTAGCCCCGCGGATCCACACATATCATCAGCAGATACTCAATCAGGTTCACGCAGTGGAAGAAAGCATTAGCAGTCTGCCAAAAACCACATACTTTGATAATTATATAGTGATTACTCTGCAACTCTTTGGAATACTTGACATCCCTTAAAGGAGTCCTATTATGCTCTTTTACAAAGTCTTGATTTTGTTTTGAGGGGGGTGTACTAGAACAGGCTCTCATACTAGGTTGTTCAAAAACACATTATTTTTCACATATTTTACATTATTACAACACCTCTCTCCCCAGTCTGGCATGAACGGCTCGAATAGTTCCTGTATCAAATGAAGGCCCGCCTTCTGAAATACGAAATGTGCTGTGATTGGTTAGCTGGGCCGGTGTGTTTGAGCTTTGTAACCTTTGCAGATCTTTTTTGTGCTCAAACAGCAACATTACAGACTAACTAAAATTTAAAAAGTGAAAAAGCATAATATCACCCCTTTAATTAATGTCATGTGAGGCATTCCTTCATTCGTGCACAAAATACAGGGCGGCATCAATCAAATGAATTAATTTAGGGATGAGCAAGTTTAACTAAATCTTGTTTGGTTGATATGTGCAAAAAGGTGCTCAGTTTCAATCATGCTCTAAGTATTTTGAATTTGGCCGCGTGTCCACTAAAGTGCTTTTCCCCGAGGCTAGCGTATTTTTTCAATTGTTCTGAATGGGAGCACTGCATTTTTTTTTAAATGCCAGGAGCATGCCAAGCGCTGTTCCTGGCAAAACCATGGCTATTTTTTAAAGGGGAGAACACATAGCTAGATCTCAAACAGTGGCTCATTTATCATTGTTATATATCGCCATATTGCCCAGTAAAACTGCTCAGTGCTAAAGAATTAAGCCATTATAGAGGTAACAGAAACAAGAAGCTGCTTTGAAATTATGTGTATTGTGGATGCTATGCAAATAAACACCTTGACTTGAATGAACCAAGCTGAAGATTCCTTATTATTAGAGATGCCGAACAAGCATGCTAGCGATCAAATGAATGAATGAAACTTAATCCGTACAAACAAGTGGCCAGGTATCAACGAGCTGCCGCAAGATAACATTTACATATATGATTTTCTTCTATTTGTAGTATTAGGGCTTACAGCTTAATGCAAATCACTGTATATAATAAATCTACAGAGATAAATTATTAAGCCACATCTTATTTGAGTTGTTTACCATACCGAGTTTCTGTTTAACTTTCATCCGAGATCCGTAGTGAATGTAGATATTTTATATTATATGATTCAACTTAAGATTGCGTTGGAATGATTAACGCTTACTGTATCAACATAGCGTTAATCAAAAGCAGAGGTATTTCATGCAGACATTGATAAGGGCTATGCTCTCAAGCGTTCACAGCTGGCTAAAAACGCTTTTTTGTCGGACATACGGCCTTATCGTTATTTTTTTATTTACTTTAGTAAATGAAAGACCATTTTCCGTTAACGCAACCTCTGGTTATAATATGCTGACTTTTACATGGTATTCTGTTTAATGTAGGGTATTAGGTTTGCTCTTTTAGGTCATGCGCTGCTTATTTTTCTTGTTGTTTTCAATAAATATGCCTCTATTGGCTAACATTGATTCAGTACGCGTGTCATGTTTCATGACACTAGCCCCTTTCACACATTCAGACTTTACTGGTAAATTACTGTTAAAGGGGTCATATGATGCGATTTCAAGTGTTCCTTTCTCTTTGGAGTGTTACAAGCTCTTGGTGCATAAAGAAGATCTGTAAAGTTGCACACTTTACGCGTATAAAAATGTGTTTTTTAGGGGGAAACACTAACCCTAAGTCGCATATAAGTTACATTTTATAATTTAATTCAGAAGTAGACCTAATGTTTACAAGCAATATAATAAACACTGTAAACATAGCTAGTGTTAGGCTTCTTTATAGCTTCTGCATTATGATGTTCTGAAGAGAAGGTAACAGAGATAAAGGCCTCTTGCTTTGTGAATGGGATTTTCCCACCATACAGACAAATGTTAGAAAACAAAAATTATCATAAATTCACAAAGTTATCAATTGTAAGAAATACAGAAGCTAAATTTTGAGAGCAGAAACTAGGTTCTGAATATGAACAAATGTTGCTGTCCATTTGATTTGATGATTTTATAGCCTAGCATTTGCAGAAGGTAGGATGACCATACGTCGTCTTTCTCCCAGACCGGTCAAAAACACATTGGGTGCCGTCAGAATCAGAGAAACATCACAGTAATCCACAGCACTCCAGTCCATCAGTGAACATCTGGAGAAGACAAAACCTGAAACTAATCCAGCATTAAGACGTTTTTAACTAAAATACATAGAGTCCATAATCCATAATAACTCTTCCTCCAGAGAGTCAGTGTTCTGGTGTGAATCAGGAGAGAAATCTGCACAGATCAAGCAGCGTTTAAACAGCTCTAAACACATATGTGGCTGGATTCTGATGCGAGAGACGACAGCAGAGGCACTTGTTCACTGGAGGAAGCGTTATTATGGATTATGCAATTAGAAGTCATCATAACTCTAAAAATAGCATAATAAACAGCACCAGCACTAAAAGTAAATGTTTAATTGAGGCGTCCAAAAGTATGTTTTAGGAGGTTGTAGAGAGGTGCAGTCACGCTTAATAAAGCAATTATTGTCTTCATAAAGTCGAACACTGTAGTTTCAAACTTTAGAGCACGTTTACTGAAAAACGATGGGATCGACCGACTCACCGTATCACCGTATCACTGTGGATGGGATGGATGGGGACGATTAAAACCTGAAAGTCTCAATGCTCAAATCTGATTCAGAGCAGGGCTGGATATATCAGCGATGACTGATAAGCTCCTGATTGCTGCACCTTTATTATTGATGAAATATGGAAACCGTTTGGACAGCAGTACAGATAGATAGATGTTGTGTGGGCTTAACAAACCACTAAAGAAATCATAAAGCCTGCTTTTATCTGTGGTACAAAGAAGATTAGATATTTCTCTGATCTGAGCGGGGAGGCTTCACATACTCTGAAGACCACCAATAGATTTACAAATAATTATTTTTTATTTTTACATGTTTTTCACACACTCATCACTATTTGTGTGTATATGCAGAGATGTACATGCGCATAAAAGACTTCATTATCAGGAGAAGATGCAAGTGAGCTGTTTCAATAACCAAAACACAAACAACAGCTGGACAAAACCGTGGGGAAATCTCTTTTCTTTTCTCTCTCTCCAAATTCTAACATGATACAGAATGTGTAAGGCTCACATGTTCAGACTGACCAATAGCTGTTGACTGAGACTCTGAAGACGTCGTAACGACAGACAGTGGGCTTTGGTCTTCAGTCGGGTGTTTGCTGTTTTACAGACCGCTAAATTAGGAGCAATGTACACTTGTAAAGAGCTTAGTGGCATCCAAATGGAAGATAACATGTAATAATAATAATAATAAATAAATAAATAATGGAAAAACCTTTTTACATCATGCATTAGACATTTTAGGGAAATTGTGTTTACATTTCTGCAAATATAAGTAGATTTCTACTTTCCGTTTTCTTGATTGTAAAGTATTTTCAGAGGATTTGTGCGCAGGCCGTGTTAACAAACCTCTCCCTCTCCTTTAGCAGCAAAGTAGTTCTTCTCAGCCACATCCAGCAGTTTAATGAGATTACAGGGCAGCGGAGCGCCTACATGACCTGTAGAAACAAACCGGAGGAGAATAACTGCATCACAGTGATATGCTTTAGCACGCCGTCCAGTCTTCAGTCCACAGCATGGACGAACACGGAGAGAAACCTGCACACACATTTCAGTACAGAGCTGGAAAATGATTGTGTTACTCCTGAAAACTCTTTACATGCTGTCCTGTTTTCAAATAAATACACATATAACACAATCCCCCAGGCAAAGAGTAATATCATGTATTATCTGGTTTATTTCAACTGCTTCAACAAACATAAGTCCAGACCTGTTACAGATGACTGTATAAACGACTGTTTAAAGGAGATAATGACTGAAAAACACAATGACCGACTGTAAAGACATCACTACTGAGAGCAAAACTCAAATGAAGTGTCATGTAAAAACCAGCCACAAGAGGGAGAGCTGTGCGTACAGATGGCACAATCAAGACATTTTCTCACAATTGCTTCATACTGCTGCACAATATTCAACTCACTGAATGCACATGGTGTCAGTCTTTGCAGGATATAATCTTGATCGGTCAGTCTACTCACACTACACCGTTCATACACATGTGAATGCTGGAGACGGGAAAAACAAGATCGCTGCGCTCCAAAGTTCAGGTTTGCTGAACTCTGACCTGTGAATTGATATCATTGGAGACGTGTGACCTCTGAGCCGCATTAAAACAAACCTTCAGTCTGCAGGATTGCAGCGATGCAGTGCACATGTTTCTGCCTTAAGGTTTTTGCTATGTAACTGTTTAATAAAAGCAATAATAAGCACATTGAGTGTGTTACAAAACTGTTACGGATCAGCTGTAATGAGTATCATGACGTGTTAGAATAATAATCACACCACACTGGAATAAATCATACTCTAATTTGATACATTGGTTCCCGGTTTCGTTCAAACATTTAAATTTATTTAATATGAATTATTATGATTAAATCAGGTAAAAATAGCTCTTTAAGGTAACAGTTGGAGGTTAGCAGTATTTACAGTGTAGTTTGTGCGGTCAGTAAAGATAACCATTAAAAAAGTATTTATAATAGTATAATTAATAATATTACAGTTTTAACTGCTTACACAGAATCTTTACTCGTCACACAGTTTCTGAAAGCTGACACTCAAACAGCAGAAGCACACACCAAATCTACAAAACCTTGCACTAATCTCAGACTTTGAAGCCTAAAATTTACGTTTTCAATTTCATAAAACACTTTTTGCAAAACACAACACACAGTTCTCTGTGTAACACACAAATCTAACAGGAAGTGTCTTGATTTCCTTTTTCAGACTCCACCAATCAGAAAGCCTCACTAATTCATCACTAACTCCTCACGTGTGCTTCACTGAACAGGCTTTAGATCAGGCCTATAAACACACATCTACACAACTACACATGCTTCATGTATTTCTTTTCTTTCGTACTGTGTGATACTGTATTCACAAACACAAATGCTTAAAGTAAAAAAAGTTTGCCAGGCATTTTGCATTTTGTGTGTGCAATTCTTTGAAAATGTGTGTAAGCAATTAAAAAAAAACTGTAATAACATCATCAATGATATTTCTTCTTTTTTTTTTTTTTCTTTGAGGAGTGTTATTTTCTTTTAGACTGAACAAAACAGAACCAGAATTCGATTAGACCCATATAAATCAGTACAGTAGTTCAGATGTGTGAGTGCTGATTATGCTGATGAGAGTCTCACCGGCCGTCCAGTCTCCAGGAGTGGTGTAGGTGCATCCGGCGGTGCACTCCGTCTGACCGTACGCCTCGTACACCTGACAGCCCAGTGCCGCTCGCAGGAAGTCCAGCACGGTCGGAGACGCAGGAGCCGCTCCTGTGATGATCATCCGTAACCTGCCGCCCAGACTGGCCTGTGAGGAGATCAGACGAGCGGTCAGACAACAGACGAGCGGTCAGACATCAGACGCGCGGTCAGATATCAGACGTGCGGTCAGAGATCAGACGAGCGATCAGACATCAGACGCGCGGTCAGACATCAGACGAGCGATCAGACATCAGACGAGCGATCAGACATCAGACGAGCGGTCAGAGATCAGACGAGCGGTCAGACATCAGACGAGCGATCAGACATCAGACGAGCGATCAAACATCAGACGAGCGGTCAGAGATCAGACGAGCGGTCAGACATCAGACGAGCGATCAGACATCAGACGAGCGGTCAGAGATCAGACGAGCGGTCAGACATCAGACGAGCGGCCAGACATCAGACGAGCGGTCAGAGATCAGACGAGCGGTCAGACATCAGACGAGCGGCCAGACATCAGACGAGCGGTCAGAGATCAGACGAGCGGTCAGACATCAGACGAGCGGCCAGACATCAGACGAGCGGTCAGAGATCAGACGAGCGATCAGACATCAGACGAG